GCAAAAACAATTGTATGCTATGGAAAGGGTGAATCATATATTGTAAACAGCCAGCCATCTCCACCACATGGCTGAGGAAGGATGAAGACACAGGTAGATGAAAAAGATGTGCACCTGTGGACCATGCACAGGTGGTAATTGTGAGGTTTGTTGTGCGGCAAGGGTAGAGAAATCTAATATCTTGTAGAGAAATCTCACAAGAAAGTTCTGCTAAGTATCTAGAACTCAGTGAAAGGGACAGATTAGAATGTGGCTGTTAGGTTCTTGGCCCCATATGGCGTTGAAATCATGGTGGTAAATATGATCCTCCAGGAAGAGTTCAAGAGTGCACAAATACCGGTCAGGTTCACAGGATGCTGTCCTGCATTTGAAGGCCTGGACCGGAGAGGAACCAGGGAGAAGACGGGATGTGCAGAGATGTTGGCTGGGTTCCCAGAACGTGACGCCAACAGGTTGAGAGAGACAAAATAAAAAGGAAGAGACTTTGGTGTATCAGATGCAACAACAAAGTCCTGCAATGGAAAGGGTTACTATATCTTTTAAAGGGGAAGTTAGGGAATCGTTGCATATCTGAGAAAAGATTATTTTAGGAGCGACAAAGAGGTAAGGCATGAATGAGAACCTCTGAAACTTATACCATCGCAAATGTTTTTTTATACATAAATCATCGTGGTCCTTGTCAGGTTCTTGGTTCTGAGTTTTGTTGGTGTGATTATTTTGTTACCATCTCCTCTTCCTTTTTCCTAGGTCTTCTAAACATGGTTTTTGCCAAAGTCTTTAAATCAGTAATGTGAAATACAAAGTATATATAGGTCAGGGCTCCACAGTCTCTTATTCTTAAATTATATGGAAAATTCATTTTAAAGAGCTAGATATTTAAAATACAAAAACAAAATCAGAGTTTCATGTCATAAAGGAGAGTTTAGAATATGAAATTTTCTTTCTAACAAACATAAGAAAAGTGTAGAAGCCACCTATTTTTTTAATGAAAAGTAAATCTTCAGAATATTTTTTAGCACACATCCTACTTTGTATATTCCAAATGAAATCACCTTTTTTATATTTACCTTAACTCTTGCCTTACACAGATAATTCAGTGAGTCTGACACTTCTGATAATTTTGACTCAAATTTAACTTTGCTGTCAAGGAGAACACTAAGGTTACAGTTTCAGCTATGTTGCTATCAATTGCCAGGTATGTGTACTGACGTTCTATAAACCTTGCAAGTTTTTTGAACATAAGATAAAGTTAAATGATCATAGTTCCGAGAATGAAAAACATTGCCATTTTCTGGACCTTTGAAAATACTGACCACATAATAACACATTGTAAGCAGAGTTTAGATTTTCTTTGATTTGCAAAACTTGCCCCCATGTTTTTTTTCTAGAACGAGAGAGCAATGACATAAAATAAGCAGTCATCTGTGAAGATAAGTTTAGGGTGAATGATCTTTGGAAAAGAGATTATATGTGTCACAGTGTTTTGTTAATATTTGAACCTACTATTGGACAAAATGCAATTAACATAAAAATTTTAATAGGGAGAATTATTAGGGCAGAATTAATTTTTGAGGTTTTTATTAAAAATGTTTAAAGTATCAAATTATTAAAAATTGTAATACATCAAATGAAATCATATCATAGAATGTGATTCTCATTACAAAAATGGAAATATGTTTAAAAACTACTCAATATTACTCTTAAGTGAAATGTAGAGAGGGAAAGAAAATATCTGAGATGTGTAACCAAAAGCAAGGTATAAAAACTTAGGTCATAGGCAAAAGCCGACTTTGCAAAGCCCTAAATGATTTGGGGTCCTGGACATGGAACGTGGAATCTGGGGCTGGGATTTTGAATCCCTACGATAAGAGGAGATCTAAACCTCAGCTCTTCACATAAAATCTCAGCCTTTCGATGACTAGAAAAATTGCTGTATATCAGAAAGCACTCTAGAAAATTTGTGGCCTGTCCAGAGGCTTGGAAACAGTAAAACAAAAGTGAAATCCAAACCCTAAACTGTGTGACACCACACATAGTATAGTACATGATGTAAGAATGAGAATTCCAAAACAACAAATTAATACTAAAATTGCTGGAACAATAGAAACTTTAAGAGCAAGAAAGAAGCCAATGTGAATGTACAGTGTCAGGATTGTGTACTCCTAGGATTTGGAGTTCCATCCCCAGTACCAAAAAAAAAGAGTTGGTACATTAACTAAGACTTTCAGTTTTCAACAAAGAATTATAAATTATGGAATGAATATAAATGAGTAGAAAAATGTGTTACTTTCATATTGATTACAGTTTTTTTTTCAATGTAAAGGAAATTGGTCTTATGGATGCCTCGTGATTTTACTGGATTAAATAATCATTTCTTATGGCCACATTATTTTTCAGGTCTTTCTTTCTTTCTTGGATCTTTTAGTGCATTAGCTTCAGGATTTTAGGTTTCTGTAAACCTTTTTTTTTTTTTTTTAGCAAAATAAATATCTAGTCTGTTTTATATGCCATATTCTGCTAGCCAGATAGTCTTCAATGGTCTGTTATGAGCATTGATGTTCTTTCTTATATTACCAGTTATAGAATATATGAGACCATCTTTCATTTCATGTATTTCCCAACCAGCTGAATGGTTACTGTTTGTATCATTTTGGCTGAATAAACATATTGAAAAGGACTAAACACACGCAATACAGTCTCTCACTAAAATAATCTCCCTTTTGAATTTAACAGATTCTTGTCTTAAAATAGACTACTTAAAATTGTTGAATCTTTTCATTTATTTGTTCCTTGTGTACCTAGTACACCATAGAAAATGTAGTTACTGTTTGATTTATGGAAGTTCAAAATACTCACTTGATTTCTCTTCATGTCTTCACAGTTCTATATTGTTAAGGAAAATAAGCCATATTCAGAAATGTAGTCTATTTTACCATATTTTTTAAACACTAAAGAACCAATTATTTAGACTGAAGTCAAAGCACATTTTCCCTGTGGAGTAATTATATGGCTCCTTATCCTATGGCATAGAAAAATAAGATAATCTCAAATGAACAGACTTGCATGCTAAGCAGTATCCACATCCAGCTCTAGGTTAAGTTTAAAGTCTCACTAGTGCTAATTAAAATTTATGTGGCAACATTTTAAAACTATTCAGTGAACATGACCTTTGAGTTTTCATCTTCCTAGTTGCCCATAGTTGAAATATTTGCTGTTATTTTAGATGCCCTCTGTACATTCTTCATATTTGGATAGGCTGAATTTTACTATTTTTTAAAATTCTTTTACTGTTACATTTTAGGCATACAATACATTTACATTTCTCATTGGGTGTTTGTACCTCTACATGATGTAACTTGGTTCTTATTTTTTCCCCATTCCCTGCACTCCCTTTACCCCTCCACTCCTCCCTATTTATAAAGACTTTGTTTCCATTTTTCCATCTCATCATTTTTCCTTTCCCTTCTTTCCTTTCCCCTACCCCTCCCACTTCCCCTACCCCTTTGGACCTTTACTTCTTATTTCACATTATCAATTATTCATTTTAATCATTGGTACATTTTAGGTATACAGTATAATGACATTCATCATTGGAAATTTG